AAAGTAATATGGTATTTATAAATAAGTTCTATTTAAAATTTTTTTGAAGTAATTTTTTAATCAGGCAAAGGTAATAAGCATATTAAATTAATTTATTAATTATTAAATATACTGTGAGTTGGATTTTAATTAAATTGTTATCATTAGAAACAAATTTTTAGATAAAACAGGCGCGCAACTATTAAACATAATTAAGTCATTTAACTTAAAATATATTGCCTTCAAAGGAATTGTATGTTATATTAGTATTTTTCTTGGTTAATGATAATGATATACACCAGTAATAACAGATATAAAGACAAATATGCAAGAAAGTTATAGATTTTTTTATTGGTTTAGACTCTAGTCCCTAATTTGCCAGAATTAAAAATATTCCAAAAACAATTCTTGTAGCAGGTGTGTACAGGACAGGATTAAGGAACAGTGGCGCCCTTTCAAAAATTTTAGGGAAACTCCTATCTAATTTTGTAAACTTTGATTTGTACTTCAGAAACCTTAGACTTACTTGAATTTTAAATATGCCACTGGATTCTACGCGGGAAAATCTATAAGACTAAATATCAACATTTCAGAAAATATACCAGAATATACTCTCTTGGGTGCCCGAAAGAATGTATTGCCCTTGGGAGATGGCCCCATTGGCTTTATCGTAAGTCCGTCCCTGTGCATGAGTGTATACAGGGTTAGTCAAAAGTATGGAAACCTCCAAAAATCACGGCGGGAAAGCATTTTTGGGATAAATGGTGAGGACAGAAGTCTCAACATTTTTCACTGTGCAATCGATGGTAATCTTGACCAAGGTCAAGGTTCAAGGTCATATGTCGATTTTTACTGTAATTTTTAACTACGGAATCAGAGGGAGTGATAGTCTTGGAGTAGATACCTGATGGTACTCCTTAGTGACCTTAATCTTGAGGTCAACGTCGAAAGAATATGTCAAGGTCATATCGGTTTTTTGAGTAGCAACCCCTTATTTCGACGCTAGAAATAAGAGAGCGTAGAATTCTACATGTTTGTATAAACTTAAACATGACCTTAAGGTCAATGGTCAAGGTGATGATTCCGGCTGTCATTATTTATTTTCGACAATGAAATAGAAGAGACTCATAATTTTTTAGTGACCTCAAGATCAAGGTCACTAAGTACCATCAGATATCTACTTACAGACTGTCGCTCCCTTTGATTCCATAGACCATTGACCTTGAGGTCACGGTAAATGTCATATTCGGAAGCAAAATTTTCTATTCCTTCCATATCCTAAGTCGAAATGGAGGGTCGTCATTAAAAAAAAACGACTTGACCTTGATATGACCTTGAACTTTGACCTTGACATCAGCGTCAAGGTTACCATCGGATGCGCCGTGAAATATACTGAGACATTTGTCTTCACCATTTATCCCAAAAATGCTTTCCCGTTGAACTTTTTGGGGGTGTCCATACTTTTGACTAATCCTGTATATACATTTTTCCATTTTTAGTAGTTACAATACCTAATTAAATAAAACTATCCATAGTTAAAAAGTTCCACTCCATTATTATAATTCCATATACTTACCTAATTATTTCTAAGTATAAATAAGAATCATAATTATTTTAAACAACGTAAAAGTTATGCTGTTAGTCTGGTTTTCCTATGCGATATAGGCATAGTTTGGTGTTAAATACGCCACAATATTGCATCAATTATTCACATTAAGAACGCGAAAGAGGTAATAACGTACTTTTTAATAAGCAGTACCGCTGAGTACAAGTTTTTGTGGTCATTTTAACTTTCTTCTTCAAGTACATGGGTGTAATTATTTAAGGCAAACGAATGTGATAGTTTCGTTTGTTGCGGAATATCAGTACCTCGAACTGACCATTCCCTTTACAGATTTCTCTTAATATATAAGTACATTCTTTGACCATCGCCTCGTATTTGTTTTGGGCTACTTATCTGGGTCAAATACGTTCATTGGAAAATGGCTTCTAAGTTCACTTCCTGCTCAACTATCTACGCCAAGAAAAATTTTTATGAAGCATTTCAATCTATATTTAAAGAATTTGTTATAGGAAAAAACAATTTTTTTTGGTATAATGACCACTTTTTTGTAGTAAGTAAATTAATTTATTTAGTAGGAAACTTTCATTTATTTGACGGTCATTTATTGAAATAAAACAAATATTGATTCAATATTTGCTTCTCAAAAATGTCTTTTTTAACTGCCAGAATAATTTGGTGTTTAATTAAGAATTTGACTATCAAAACTTCACGAAATAAGGACAATAACAACTTTTATTTATCCTAAACATTTTAGAGGACATCTTAATCCAAAAGAAACTATCGCACAGTGTGGATCAATTTCTACACTTTTTTGATTCCCGAGAAAAGAAATTCGATTTCGAAAAAAATTGAATGATGAAAACCGCATCTTGATATCTTAATTAATTTAAAAGTTATGGTACAGGGCGTTTTCCAGTTTTGACCATTTTTCTGTAAAGTTTGATAACATCCTGAAAATTATTTAATATAGAAATTATATACAATTAATTATAAATGGTAAAAAATTATAATTATAAAAAAAATTACTTATTCTGAAATAAAGAAATTTTTTGTCCACTTTTTTATTAAAATTCAGTCAATACCTAAATATTATCTTGTGAGAACATACGATTAGCGCTTTTTGTTCTTCATTCGTTCAAGTTATTGTACAACTTATCTTACTTTTATCATTTCACACCATTACTGTTCATGTTTACCTAGAATGAGTGCCCGTCTTCTTAGAATGAATGTCCATGATTAAAATGAACAGAACTGTAGTGCGCATAAAATTTATATCTGTCAGGAACTGTGTTGACAAATAGTACAAGTTTTAACTGCCTGATTTTCTTTCACAATCCCACACCTTTAACATGGTATTGCGGAATGCTTATTTCAGATTTATACCCACATTTTCAAATGAAGATTTGTAATTATAATCAAAAAACTAATAAAATAACATAAGAAACACATTATATAATAAACGTGTCCCAAAATAAAATAATTAAATAAAAAAAAGGTGGTATGTAATTAAATTAACAGTTAAGTTAATTAAATCATTATGTGTGGAACCCTTTACGTCAACAGTAAATATTTAATTTAAATACTATTTTGTAATAGTTACGTTGCTTTTTGTAATAAAATCCATATTTTTTACCAATTTACAAAATTACCTTTAAATTAATTAATTAATATGGATTACACAGTATGCAGTTTCAAGTCAATAGAAGGGACACCAATCTCCTATTACGTCACTGTTTTCATGGAAATAATAAAGTAATATTTCAACGTAAGCTAGAATAAATGAAAAATTCCAACTATTAGTAAGCTTAGTATCTCCATGTAAATATTTTTATTTAAATCATTTCCAATATTATTTACAATTACTGCAATGTAGATTTAAGTATATTTTCCTGCATTAAGAGTATTTATCGGTGTAATTAAATCGTCCGAATACATTAATATTTTTAATCCGAAGATATTGTCCAAAAACACTGACAGGTACACTTGGACAGGTAACTCTTGGGATATAAATGTGAGATAACCAAGTGAGACAGTACTGTGTGGGTAAAGAGCGATAATCCCGCTGGACCCCGTTACATCCAAGGTGACTTATCCTACCAAGAGTATTGGCGAGCGAGGTAGCACTCTTCTCGTCGCTATATCATCGATTTCTTTTTGCAACCTTCCCCACAGAACAATGAGTATTAAAGAAAACTCTACGACTCAATAAACATTTTTTTTTACCTGACAGCAATAGCTGTGATTCGGTTAACTAATTCGGGTAATTAAATTTAGAGAATAAATTCAGTTAGACTTTCAAAACCCCATACAGATAATAAACTGTCCGTTTCATCCATAATAATGCATGTGTACAGTAATGGTTGATGCTGTTCTACTCTACATGTTAATATTTGTCTCTGTTTTAAAAAGTTGCTTCGTTAGAAAAGCCGCAAAAAATAATTATTTGAATAAACAAACTCGAAATTTAGCAAAAAATTTATTACAGTTGGATATGTAATTATCATACACTTATTTATTAGCAATAAAATAAGTTAGTATAAAAGTATAAAAAATATAACAATTAAAAAAGAATACAAAAATGTACCTATAAATATTTACAATATATGACAAAGACTTATAAGTACTACAACATAAAAATTCAGTCTTATAAAGTTAGAGAAGGGATATATACAGAACACTAAGCGAAACAACTGTGTTACAAATCTAAAAATGTTAGTTAAAGCTCAGTGGTCATTGTCTAGAAATTTTTAATTAAATCGGGACAAATAAGAAAACGATGGAAATAAATGGAGTATGATTGATGATATATGATTGATGAATATGAGTGATGAAATGTAGTTGATTAAGGACCATAATGTAAGTATATTAGCTACACCTTTTTTAAATTAAAGACAAAGATTGAGCAGAGAACACACAAAAGAGAATCTGCAGGGACATGTTAATGAAAAATGATAATGTTATGCCACTACAACATCAGAAATAATTTGCAAAATTTGGAAATAAATCTTTGATAACTAAATTAACTTTTCCTTTATCGACTCCAATAGGGAAGCAGCTCTGGCAAGACAAAAGATTACCCTAAAGGTGATCAGGAAACTACCTCTACTTTCTCTGGCTACCCACAATGAAATAACAGTTAGATGTATGTCAGGGCATGGAGGAAAACTGGGAAGAAGCCGATGCCGTAGGAAGAAAGGAATATTACAAATCTTGACCTTTTGCGTGGTGTTGAATGGATAAATAGTACTATAGCACCAGTTGCATTACAGACCACATCAATGCAAAAGACACCAAGTCGTCGGTTAAAAAACCCAAAGGAAAATTTGTCTGAATACCAATCAAACAGGTTACTGGTCACTGTCTAAGAAAACATCTATAATAACAAACCCACATGTAGATTAAGTATTGATGAGGGTGAAAGAACCTTTTGGGAACAAACAAAGGAGGAATGAAAACGTGGTGAAGAAGCTTCAAAACCTGATGAAAGTAACAAATCTCCACACTTTGAATGTACAGACAGCAACATAATAATCATACATGTACCTACTGAGTTGCATTTGATACAAGATTAAAACCTTTAGCTAATATAGACACTACACCTTAACAATTTTTCTATGAAAGTCTAGCTTATAAGCCTTGTCATTCCCTTAAAACCTAAAAACATAAAACTAAACCCTTGCATAGTGAGACTTGAAGACATTCGAACTGCTGGTACTAGCATCTCCCTTTACCTGTTCGCTTGGGCTTGGAATAAATTCGTTACCACCCAACCTAGATTCCTGTCCCTGACTGTACTGACTGCGCTCCTTTCCTTGACCTTCACCTCCTTGAATAGAGTTCGCAGGAAGCCCACTGTTCGGCAGAGGTCGTAGAGGCGCTCCGAAATAGGCACTGAGCTGGACCTTAATTTTCTCCTGTTGCTCGGGAGTGAAGTTTTCAAAACCAGTTATTATCGGAGGGATGGACCTGACGGGACCTGCGGCTTGGGGGTTTTCTTGGAGGGCTCGAGGTTCGGTCTGGTAGCTGAAGGGTTGGGAAGAAGCCACTTGTTGCTGGGATTGGGACGGGTTGATACGGGAATACTGTTGAGAGGCGATGTGAGCGATTTGAGCTAGCTGTAAGGGAGAAGGTTGGGGCGGGGCTTGTGCTTGAGGGACGGGTATTGATACTGCTTGGGGTAAGTGGGTGGCTTGAGGGATAGGGGCGGGAACGGCGACCAGGTTTTGCTGGTACTGAGCAGGGACTGCGACCACTTGGTAGTTTCCTATGGTGTGAGCAGGAGTTTGTTGAGCCACTGGTTGAGCCTGTCCTTGATTATTTCCCTGAAGGAACTGGTATCTAAAATTAAATAGTTGTTAGTTAAAAAGTATTTTTAAATAATATAAGATTCAATAAAAAATGTCAGAGCCGTCCCAGTGCAAACTTGAATTTTTAAAAGTATTAATTAAAGATTAAAATTCATTGTTATTATTAAGCTTTTATAACAAATAACCATTCTGATATGCATTTCGTGGTTATAATAGACAGATTTGATTGATAGGTTCTGACAAATATTCAGTAAATTGTCTCCAGGTTGTTATAAATAAATTTAAATTACACCTCAATACTTTCCAATTTTTTATGATTAATATACCTTCGTGGTTTGTACGCAGAAGACGTGAAACGTAATAATTTACTTCCTGCAAAAGACGCTCACTTTTAGAACTATCTCCGGAGAAACTAGAAACCACATTCAAACAGGTGATATAAATCATTACTGTGACTAAAATTGATTTAATTTGTAAGGAAGATTGACAAACACGACGTTTGAGGCAGACATTGTTTATTTTTTAATTCAGAAAACTTTTTTAGGGCCATTTGCACCATTGCCTTAGGCTCTTTATATCCTTTTTCACGCTTTGAAAATGAACTCTTTAAAACATTGTCGCAAAGTATATGCAAAAAACACTACATGTGAAAAATTATTTTGTTTTTCCTGCGACCATTTTTTATCAGGTTTTGTCTAGAATAAAACTGACATGCTGCGGAAATGTCACATTAAATGAAATTAGCTTTAGCATTAATGTGGACAAGAACGTTTATTTAATAATTAAATATTTAAATAGTGTATTTTATGTAAATATATTCATCTATTACTTGAAATCTGACAAATTGCTACGATGCGCGATGTCTAATCGATTTTAATCCACTGTTGATTATCGTGGCTCAAATTGTGTGAAACTGCCAAGTCACAATTCCCAGGTTTGTTCCATTCACGAATTTTAACCTTTTAAACTTTAACCGAGACTTCGCTATAAATATTTGCAGACTATAAAAGTGTTTCCCATGAAAATTAGCACTTAAGAGTTTAGTAAACAAAGTGGTATATGAGTTGATAATTATAATAAATTAATTATGTAAACATTACTTAAATTCTTTATAAGTATGCAGCGTTTATGAATGAACAGCAATATTATTTAGCTGTAGTACAATTGAAACGAGAAATTTGGTTTACTAAGTTTGAGAAATACTGAGAAAAAATATAGAGTAGTGAGCATTGATCAATTAATTGTGTAGTTTAATGCATAGACATATCTACAAACCCAAACTTTTAATAAAGGATATTCGCTAAAGTGTGAATTGAGCGAAATGTAATATCCTCATTTTTCGGTTCAAAAGCAATACTTATTGTACTGCTTGTAACAAAGAATCACTTGTTAACTAGTACTATGTAATCTTTAATAAAAGTTTTCGATGTGCTCAACAATAAATGCCGAAAAAAATGAAACATTCATTTCTTGAATAGCTGTTATTACAAATTCTGAAGCAGCAGAACTGCTTCCTTTATCAGATCTATTGGTATGTTAATCATTAATTCACCTATTAAGATCGTCTTCTGATAATCGTGATGATAGACGATTTTGATGGAGAAAGGAAAACTGTGTTGAATAATATCACAAATTAAATTATAAGGAAGTTAGTGTAACTGGTAGCAGATATATTTTTACCGATTAAAGTCAGCAATAGAATATTAAAGTTTCTCGATCTTTACATTTCAAAATTTATAATTTTCTTGTCTAGTATTTTAAAAACAGTGACCTACCTTGCCTGGGGACTGCCATGGATATAATTCACAAGTTGATTTGGGGCCCCTGTATACAAAACATTTTGAGGGACATACGTAGGTTGGGTAAAGAAAATCATTGCAGGGGGCCTATTTTGTTGCTGGGGGACGATATAGGCCTTCTGGAACACCTGCTGTAGCTGTGGCTGCTGTTGGGCCTGTAACTGGGACTGATAGGCAGCTTGCTGGAGTTGTTGCGCCTGGGATTGGTAGATCTGTGTCGGTTGGACGAATATTTGTTGTTGACCTTCAAAATAAGAAGAAATAAGATAGATCATAGTTGATACCAAGCGAAAATAACATTGTGCTGTAATATATAATAGTAATTTTAGGATGTAAGTATTCCCATAACCAAAGAACTTCAAAATCTATAAAAATTCCTCGTATCGGTTTAGAAATGCTTTAAAAAGCACCAAAATTTTTATAAATGTCAAAGTACGTCGAATAGACTTTAAAAAGCATTAAAATTAATCAAAACTGCTTTAAAATACAACATAAACCCGATCACAGATCAAAGGCATTATTCCTTCATCTAGGGAACACTCTGTATATGTGAGAATTTTACTAACCGTGGATTTGTCGCTGTGGCTGTATCTGCTGATATTGTGGAGGGGCAGGCTGTTGAGGATAAATTTGCTGTCTGTATTGTTGCTGTTGTTGTTGTTGCAGAGCCAAAAATTGATTGTCAGGTTTAGGTGTTGTCGACAGCGAATTAATCTTCGGTGATGACTTGATTTTAATGTCTTGGTCGATGGCGGAATTAGATTTTGCTGCGATTAGGTCCAAGCAAACGGCGCATAATGTTAGTGTTACCTATAAATAAATTGTGTTATATCAACTGTACACTTAATAGATTTAAGTAAGCACTGATTTTGATTGTGGCTGTACTTATTTCCACATTCACTACATTTATTATAAAATGTTGCAAAATTATCATTATAAGAATTTGTTACAATGTTGTAAGGGATTTTCAAGCTATATTCTTTTGTAAAAATTAAATAAAATTATTTTAAACAAATAGTAATAGGAAGTCACTGAAAAATCGAAATTTTATACAAAATTACTCACGTAATTTTTTATCTGAATTGTCGACTTCTACAAAAGAAAAAGAGGTAGAATAAAGGAGGAAACGAAAAATTAAGTTAACAAGATTATCCTGAACAATAAGCTAAAGCTGCTATATATTAAACAACATAAACAGTGACTCCTCATGTTTTTAACAGTTTCCCTTTTGTGTGATTTTGTACATTTCCAGAGTTTCGAAATCTTGTCTTTGCTGTAAAAGTGTTTATTTTTTATGTCGTTAGAAAGTGCGAGTCGTTAGAACACTTCCACATTTCGTAACCAAGAAAATTCCTGTTTCTGCAATTTTTGCGACAGTTTTATTAATGTGATTTATAATTATGAAGAAAATAAAACCGGAAGTGATAATCCGAATTAAAGAAATACGGCGGATGAATACGGCAGAATGAAAATACTCTTGGTGCATATAATTGTATCAAGTATAAACACTAATTTGTTGCGGAATAATGTCTTAATTAATATACTACGTACACTTATCCTATATGAGGGGAAGGATTGATTTTTTCATTTTTATATATAGAAGAAATATCCAATTACAAAAAATATCTCAAATTACGGCCAACAAAATGGGTAGGCTTACAATTCATTGATATCCGCGTCATTTCAAGTATGAAACTTCTCGTATAAATACATTCATCTTAAGAAAGTACGGCAGGTGAAATTAAACTATATCAATCCCCGAAACGATGTGTTATTTTTACAAATGACCCTGCCACTTAAAGATTACACTATTAATCTATTTCATATGTTGGCTCGTGGCCGTACCTTTCACCAAAACGAATATCTTGATTAGACAAAAATAAACCACGAGGATTTGAATAGATTAACAGTTATGTCAGCAAAAAATGGAAAGTCTCAGATATATTTGGTACATTTCTTTTACTCACTGCCGTCAGATTTTTTTATATAATTTTATTATTATTATTACTACGTAGAAAGTGCCGGTGCGTTCCAAATATTGTAATTAAAGTTTAGTTCCTTAAATTTCACGTAGGCAACTTTTTCTTTTCAAATGTGAATTATATTTCCTTATAAATAATGGTAGAATGCACGGCAAAAAAAAGCAACGCCTGAGTAAATTTGAAGAAGGATAAATAATAAGGTTCGTTGTCTCACGCAGCGTTGATATCTTTTTTTCTTTTTGGTATATTTGACCAATTATGGGATTATTAGGAACTTGTAAACAAAGTAAAACTAAATAATAATACAACCTTTATAATAATTCAACATTCTACTATATACTTATGTTTGGTGTTTACTGCATTTAAGACTTTATACCTACAATTATTGTTTGACTGAAAGTGTAATATCATAATGTTGGGCATGGATGACGATTTTATGAATGTAACCAAATGGTCGTACCCTGGCAAATGATTTAAATATTACCAATAACAAAAGAGAAAGAGAAAATTTGAGAAAGATAAAAAAATACTAGATCTAAAATATGTTGCTGTCAACCCACCTTAACTTTCTTATTTTTAAATTAAAAATAATGTTAAATAACAAAGTTGTAGCTTTCAACTAGAAGTACTGTATAATGGTGATCAATTATGTACAGGATGTTCCTTTTAATGTGGCAGAAATACCCAATGAAATAAAAGTAGTTAAAAAAAATGCCATCAATAAATACCTAATTATAAATAATATGTTTAAGGTACGATTTGTCTATCTCTAATGATAAGAGAGTTATTGTCACTAGAACATGCCACACTGTCGTGATAGACCCATCAAGTTTATGTCATTGGAATCTTGAAAAGGCGTTGTTCTCATGAAAACCTTTAGTCGACAGCCACAACTTCCTTATTTAGTTTTTTTTTCTGAACAAAAATATATGAAAGTTAATGTTGAAAAAGTCAATAAAATGTTAATATTAAACAAATAAGAAACACGTTAATAGCTGAAATTTGAAACTTCAATTTAAATCTCTGTAAAAAATGTACAGGGTGATTTGATTATATTACAAAAACTCACATTATCCAAACTTTAATTCACTTTCTTCTTCAAATATTGTTGTGCTATCATTTCACTAATTAAAAAGCAAAGTTAAAGTTCTAACACAATACCAAAAAAAATTTCAGAGTTAAGTCACTTAAAAAGTGAGAAATCAGTTATTCCTTCTTCCTGAAAAATTTTAAAAAGTGGATAATATGAGTTTTGCATCTATACCCCTCATTTATTTTTTCTTCTAACTGCTCAGAATGTCAAAGTTGCTGTCTCAGCCCACTGAAGTGTGTTCCCAGTTCGTTTTTTAAGTTTTACTCGAAAATCAGGCTTTTTTCGAAAAACGTAAGGATGTAGTGATTTGTAGAAAATTGAAAGACGAATCCGAAAATATCATGTTGTTACCCTAAAGCAGTGGCGTACTATTTTATTTAGAGAAATATGCCACCGATACCCTGTATATCCGCCACTAGAGTATGTAAATTTTAGGAAAAGTCCTTAGAGTTTGGACAATGTTCACATAAATACATGTGCCCAATTTCAAATTATTTCACTTAAAAGATTTTAAATTATTTAAAAAAATTAAAAATACTTTTTGAAATTTAACACCCGGTATCTTTTTAACGAAGCGTCCTAGATAAATACTTTATAGGAAAGACGGTCCTTACAATTCACCAAAGAATACGAGGTTTCATTTGTGGTCACCATTTGTAAATCACCCTGTATATTATAGAACTATTTATTATATCATGGAAATTTATTGTGGCAAATATTTAGTTATGTTTTTTTTTATTTTTATTTGATTTCACTGATTAATTCAGCAAATTTCTCTTTAATTGCTGGATAACTAAAACACAAACACATCGTTTTTTACGGTAATTAGATATCGACTGACTGTATGATTATGGGATTTTAAACAATGTAAAACTATAGGCCAATCATTATAGCTTTTTTTTGGGAAAAAAATACTATTAGAAGTTTTTCTGCGGAATATTGTTCAGAAACGTGTTATAAACAAAATATCAAAAGATCAACTCGAGACTAGTTGGGAAACTTTGTTAAAACAATGATCAGAATTATGAAAAAGTAGTTTTTCGACTGGCGTAAAAAAACTGTTATTCATAGAGAAAAAAAGGTTTATACAAAAAAGGTAGGTATTAAATAAATCTGTAAAATAAGACAAGTCCGATTAAATTCCGATAATTTGTTTATGCGCAAGAGCTCAAAAATGGTCGAAATTGTCCGCTTTTTTCAATTGCTAATAATTAATGCAATTTTCATCGCAGACACTTGTAATTCAGGATTTTTGAAGCTTTTTGCACCCTTAATAAGNCTTGAAGCTATTTCTGAACGTATCTAATTTGGAAGATTGTTTAATACTGCAAGAGCAGGTACCTAAATCTTGTAAGTAGATGGTGTGAGAATAATCAACAACCTATTAATATAGATAAGGTCTGCTCATTTACTTCCAAAAAAGAACCGTTAATATTTAACTACACCTTTGAAAATGCGTTACTGGCACGTTGGGATAATGTTAAGGATTTAGGTGTAAATATGACAATTTTTGTAACTTACCTTAACTATTATAACAGTGTTATTAAACAATTTATCATACTTAGTGGTTTTGTCTATAATGATCAAAATGTCTCTAAAATATTTCCACTTCCTTTACCCTACACAATATGTCACCTCAAGGATCAGTACTAGTGCTGCTAATATTAAATATTCTTATTGATGATATAGCAAAACTCGCATCAGTTCCACAACTGTATATGCAGATGGCGCAAAATAAGCAAAATTGATTATTGTTACTTACTCCAAGAGGTTTCCGAACAATATTCCGCAGAGAAACTTCTAATAGTATTTTTTCCCGAAACAGGCTCTTTCATGTCTATAATGACTGGGCTACTATGGATACTTTACTATTTGGCAACAAATTTACACTAATATGCAAAATTCATCTAAATTTTAAAGTAGTAATTTGCATTAGAAACTCTTCAAACTAAAATAAAAAATACAAATTTAGATCTACTTTGAAAGTTTGAAGCACAAATACATTAACTGAAAATTTTCTTATAAAAAATAACGGCTGATAGCACCAAAAGAGCGAGCTTCTGCGAGAGCAAAATAATCAAAGCTTGTTTTATACTTTGTTATTTAGAATAGTTTATTAATTTTCAATTTCCTAATTTTTCTGAGCTTACCAAAAAAAATTGATACAAAATGTTAATATGTTTTTTTTGATATCATAACCTAAAAATAAGAATATAATCATAGGGTTGACATATCCCAAAATGATACTGATGAAGGCATAAACTATCGCTTATTTTTTTACTACGATGCCATAATGCAACACTTACATCACTTCATGATTCTATTAAATGAATCCTTCGCCATCCCGAGCTTTTCCAAGATCGAACATTCACGCTCTGTCAGTTACACAATCTACTTACCAGCAGCTTCATTTCTCAGAGTTTCGGCGACGTTTGTAGAACGTCCTGTTAACGATTCACTCTCACTTCTGCAAAACAAATGCAACTGACCGCGGACCCCTCTCTTATTTATAGCGAATAAATGATAAGATATATCTTTCCTACGTATTGCCCCAGTTATTACCATCACCGAGGAGTGCATACGAATTTCACTGGGTTCAGTAGCGGCAATAGGGGGACACGTAGGAGGCTGTGAGTAACGCTCTGTTCTAAATTTAAAAGAAACCTCATTCCAGAGGATGAGAAGTCATTTTTTGAAAAGCTGAGGTGTTGTTAAATACAGGACGATTACGAACTTGAAGAAAATATTTGAGAAGTAGATAAATCGAAGCACAATACCTCGATTGATCCGTAATTTCGAATTTAATGTATAAAACACAAAACACAGGCTATCTACTAACAGGGCCACTCATATGTATCTCGCTTAATACACGATGCACGCCAAAAATCTTTATGTTTTTTGTTGCATTTTTTGAGGCCCTGATGCATGTAAAAACAAATTTGAGATCCATGGCAACCTTATGAGAAATCATAAAAAAACCGGAAAAGTACCTACTGAAAGTTTATGGCCGTCTAACTTTTTTATTTTAAGAGATAGAGAAAACTTAAAATTCTCCAAAGAATACGAGGTTTCCATTTTTGGTCACCATTTGTGAATCACCCTGTATAACCGATCACAATATGCCGTAGTTTTCAGGAGTTCCTCAAGGGTCCATACCTAGACCTCTTCTATTTGTTATTTTTATCTATGATATTGGCTTAATTATTCAATAGTTGACTATGTCAAACTATTTTGTCTCAATAACTCTGTTTTGGACTGTAAAAATCCTCAAAGCAATATTTCCTCAATAATTTGTGCGACAAAAACCAGTTACTTTTTGACATTAGCATTACTTCCTGTATTTTCACTGTAAAAAAAAGTATCTATATCACAATTCCACACCATTCTCGGTGTTATTTTTGTTGAGTGGCTATTCGGCGCACAAACTGTACTCAACAAGTAACCTAGCAAAAAAACTCAAGCAGTAATCGATAATGATAAATGATAAATGATAAATGAAATACACAAAAATAAATAGACTGTTGGTGGCTTCCAGCGATGAAATGCATTCAAATTCTTAGTTAGATGTACTACATTTGGAGAAATGTGGAACAACAACTGATGCCCTTCGCATCGTCATCGTTGACCCACACTATCTCCCTTCACATGCACTGTAGGTTGCCTACAATTCATGTATTTGTAGTACCTACATGGATATTACAGTGGCAGCGTACACAAGTATTAAAGTGCATTTAAAAATTCAACTACTTATTTAAAAAAAAATTACATCGTATATACACGTACTATTACCCCTAAAAAACTGACCCCCACTTAAAATTACACGCTGCATAAGAATTTGGGATTTGTTTTGCGAAACTCAAGTCAACCTTCATTACGACTAATATTCACGTGTTTGTGAGACTTAAACCTGAATACGAAAAGCTTCGTGTTAAAAATGGTTTAGAAAATAATATTTGGCAGATATGTGGCAAAATTACTAGGCAAGAAGAAAAGTAATAACAAGGCTAAAAAAAATAAAGAGAAAATGGAAGTTGGATATTGGAGATAATTATTTAGTTATTCAATTAAAAAAAAAACAAATTGTGAAAGGAAAAGCTTATCTGACTTACTACAATAGAAAAAAATATAAAAAATATGTTGTTACCTACATCTCGAGTACTCCTAAATATATTTAATTTAAATTTGATGTGGAAAGGTTTGTTTGTGGTGATGCTAAATTAGAATATAGCACAGCACTTTTATATAAAAAATTATTTATATAATTTTTTAAACGTCCAATCCTTTTTTAATTTTAGAACGGGACGCCTATGAATAAAATCAAATTTATTTATTTCAAAATTATGGTTTTGTATATAATTATCTCAAGCTGATGGTTCAATTTCAAATAAAAGAGATATAAAGGTGTGTAGGGGCAAAAAAATATGACTATTTAAATTTTCTGTCTTTTTTCCCCAAAAATTCGTAGTTTCCGGAAATACAACTGGAAAATTTAATAATTCACTGTTCAGAAATGGCTCGATCACTTTATTTGTTTTCATTGATGCGTGAAGTAAAAAAATGGTTACTGCAAACCCACGATAATTATAAATGATATCTCCTTAAGCATTTCCTTTAGAAATCCACTTCCACACGCATTACATGTCTCATTCACAATATCGTAACAGCCGCCTATGACCACCTAATTCGTAATAATCGCCTTCCACGGAGTTACTTCTACTTCTACTGGTTTTTTAACTGTCGTATCGCATGTCGGCATTCTGAATTCTCTGTGCTTGATAACCTTAGAAGAGGAACTCTCTAAAGGTCCTATATTTAGCAGGTTTAATGTACGTTTCTTAATCCTAGGCTTAATTGTTTAAATAATGATATACCCAAGGAGGAAGTAGCATTTGTGACAGATTTAGGTATAGAGTGAATGTTACATTACGTTACGCAACGTAGAAATTAGACGTTCTTAAAATATATTTATTATTGGTGGCGAAAATTCGAAAAGTAGCACCGACCTACACAATTTTTTTGCGGATATGCAAATTGTTGTATTCCCTGGCCCTAGCAGAATATTTTACGAGTTTGTTGCCTTTTTATGTAATATCTGTAGTTGTTTTGTATCCGGAGTATTGTCATAGCCGCATAATTTCTCCAAAATTTGAATACTGGAAATATGGAAATAAACTTTTTTGTGGAATGACGTTGATCGTGTCAGGAAATTTTCTTGTGATTTTAAAGCATAGAAAAATAATTTAATGCTGCATTACGGATATATTTATTAAACCTGTGTTTTCTTTAAATAGAACACACTGTATATTTTTGCCAATTTGGTTAGACTGCTTTCTCGAGATAAAGTTTGATATATCTACGTGTAATAATAATGAACATATCACCAAAAAAATATGCTAACAGTAATAACTTTCGCCCATACTATTTTATTTTTTATTATTAAGTAAAACAGATAGAGGAGGCAGAATGTTATTATTATTAAAAGTGGCAATCTCTATTTAATAATTGACTTGCTTCAGCGATTTTTTTAAATCAAATTAAAAATCAAAATGAAATTTTCATTTCAACTGGAAAAAGATATGAATTTTGTTCCATCATTTTGAGACACACTGTATATTTACAATAAGATATTATATCTAGGTAACTATTATATAGCACTGTTTTTAAAATGTTTAACTTTCTATACCACAAAATGGAAATTCAGGTTTTATTTATTGTTTAAGAGAGAAAATTGTATGAAGAGTTAAGAAATGATTTATTTTTTACATAATCACGTTCATGAATTTGTTTTTTTTTTTTCAGTTTATACATGTATCTATCTTTCTTTCAGTTAAATTTTAGTCGATTGTAATTCGAATAATTAATACATTAATTAAACAAATAATGCTTATTTTTTATTATATAGACAAAAATAATGACTTGTGTTAGTATTCTGTTAAGTTGTTCCTAAATTACTAGAAATTCTCGCAAGAGCAAACACATTCTCGTAAGTGCATTATTGTGGAACTTCAGAAATTGTTTTGTGTTATTAAATTATATTTAATTATTTCTCTTATTAATTATTTAACTGGCCACCTTGTCTGATTTTTTGTCGGCTCGTTAGCTATTTGAATCATTTCATTAAACTCGTTTTAATGTAGTGAAATATTTTTAATGTATTATAAGGGTATAAGGCTAATTCAAATAAATTCAAAAATCTTATTAAATGATGTCAAACAATGTTCTACGACACCAGAAATCTGGGTATGCAAAAGATATCTATCCTCACGGAAAAGACTACAAATTATAACTAGTAATAAATAAATATTCAAAATAAATGTAACACATACCTACCTAACATACTGAAATTATTAATGTAATCAGTCAAATCAATATTTTGTATTTTTGTTCTAGCATCTCCTTTGACAAAGATTGAGTCGTAAAAACTGCTACTACAGAACGCTCTTACTTTATGACAAGATTAATCTAAATTATTGTTTTACCTAATAAATATTTGCTCCTTCTAATATATATTTTTTTAATTATTATATAGAATAAATTCAAATTCTTTCTCTAAAAAGTTTTATCAATCGAAATACGAAAGCTAACTTTCTTTTCTGATTCGTGGCTAACCATTTTTGTTACACCCTGCATAAACTTCGCCGTCACATTCTTGATTCTCTCAAAAATTCAAATGAGTGGAATTGTGTAGGTATTCATCGCAAACAAAATACTGGTACTGCATTGTCGTTATGCAAAAACCCATAATTTATTTACGCGAATAAATTTTGATGGTAATTTTGATTCAGCGTTGAAGCGTAAGGCTTTTACTTTCTTTTCTCTCTTTTAAATATGCCCTCAGGACATACAAGTAAATACAAATAAAAGTTTATTACTGCCACAGACATAAATGGTTAGTACGTTACCATTGTTCTTGTTTCCTTTCTCTTATTTTTCGCGGTTAGAATTTTACAAACATTGATGGAACAATAAGGAAATACATAAGTGAGGAATAAAATGTAAAATTCATATTCAGTGCATGGAAAAAGGCTGTCATGAAATTAATGTATTTGAATATTATCTGTCAATAATTTAGAATATTATGTACTTCAGTTTTTTCAACTTCATCTTCATCTTATTAATACATGAGGTATATCCACCAATTAATTGTACTTTTCAACAGCGGGCAAAATATGTGTATTAACTAAAATAATAAACGTTTTCATAGAAAACCATCGAGTGAAAATATGTTCGCGGATTGGTGTACCACTCAAGGCAATTAATTGTACCGTATAATACTAATTGTGACTTCTATACATTTTAATTGCATGCTATATGCAACTCTATTATGATTGCAAAGCGGAATGTTTAAATGAATGCGACTATTTCTAATTTGCTATCTAATTATTATTAACAGTTCTCTATACAGTGTGTCACAAAATGACGGAACAAAATTCCTTTTTCTTCCAGTTCCAATTTTAAAAAATCGATGAA